TGAGAGAAATTTGGACACGCTTATTTTCAAGGGTGCATCTCTAAGTGTAGCACTCAAGACAACAATGTCATCAGGTCTCTTCAGAATAAAATCTAAGCAATTGTTTTGACTGGAGAGGTGCTGAGAACCACATTCTGTCAGAATGTGAAGCTCCACTGAAAGTTTCTCAAAAACTGTCACATTTCATGGAATTTTCAGGGGAAAAAAAAAAGAAAAAGAATACAAAACCAAGTAAAGTAATTGTTGGAGTGTCCTATGTCTACAATTCTTTTTAAATGCCTGCCATCTTGAGCTATTTCAAGGGATTTGCACTGTAATGGGCTTTAAAAGCCTACCTCTGTCATGAAATGCTCTCAGTAATTGAAGCAATTCTCAGATGCTATGATGGTGGGAGTATTTTAAACAGCTTACAAGTTTTCAGATTGTGCTCAGCTTTGGCATAACCAAATTCAAAATCATTCTTAAAACAGAGTTTCTGTTCAATTACTTCTACCTTCAGCATCTATCACTAAGAACTCCCACTATATTCAGTGAGGACTTGGAGCAAGCATGTATTTATTGTATTAGTTTGGGTAGTATCGTACTCATAAAACTTCAAAACATTTCTGTACAAGGAAAGGTGCCCAGGGAGTGAATTCCAGCTTGCAAAAGAAGGGGAATGTCTGAAAGTTCTCACCTTCTATCACTTTCTCCCTCACATAGAATAGTCTGGCAACAAAGCAGGTCTGCTCCACAGTCAGGAGACCACTCCTCTCAGTCCTGTCAGCACAATATTGCTCACCACTGTCAGGAAGCCTTTGCCCCTGGATGAGAGAGTGCAGGGAAGGCAGGGAAGCTGTCAATGACAGCTTTTAGGGACATTATTTACATAGTCATTGCACCAGCTGTTTAATATCTGCTGATCACACTGACAGGATTAGACATCACTGTAACACAGTCTTGTCCACCAAGTAACCAAGAGCTGACAACCATCAGAACAAGGCAGGAGGATCTAAAGTATCTACCTACCTTTTTGGGCCTCAGTTGAGGATGGTACCTAAAACGTGTTTGGACTTGGAAACTCTTATTCTCCCCAGAAGCAGCCCTCCCCACTCCCAAAACCCATGAAAATTTTTGAAGGTCATCTTGAAGCTCAAAATAAAACCTCAGGTTAAGGATTGCAAGGGTCTGCCTGCATCATATTTTAAATATTCTTACTTCAAGATACAGCATTATCCTCCCTTTACGAACCCCCAAATTTTGACTGTAATTTCAAACTTGAACTTGCATCCACTGAAACTGGCCAGATTAATTAACGGAGCAGATTTCCTTTCATCTCAAGAACAGTAAACCACTCAAACCATGGGCAAAATACCAACAGACAATTAGGAGCTTACACGTATGCATAAACTGTACTGGTTTGGACTTCTGTGGGGAATTAACGTTCTCAAAGTAACCTCTTATGATAATGGTTTTAACTAGTTAATTACATAAAAGAACTATGAAATACTCTTCTCAACTGCGCACTACAGGTGACATAGCATACTTTAAGAACTAGCCACATCAGTCCATGGTCGCCTGGAATCAACACATTAAAATGTTTAGTCTTTTCTCCTTTTCTTTTGTCTTTAATAAAAAGTCTCATGCTAAAACACTGAGAGTCTGTGGGAGAAAGACAATTCCATGAAAGAAACACTGTAAGCATAAGCATAATCTCCTCCTCTCCCCAAATTTTCTGCCTACATTCTGAACAATGACTTAAAATAACATACAAGTGAAGAGTCAGGAGAAGGAGATACTTATTAGAATTATGACTTTTATTTTTATTCACTAGAGCAACATTGAGGAAAGAATTTTTACATACAGGTTTCTGAATCAACTTTACAAGCAAATTCCAATATACAGTATTTACTCTGGCCTGGGTTAAAAAACCAAAAACAAAGCAGATAGTAAGAGTACCTCTTGTTTTAGCTATTACTGAATTTAGATTTGGTTACACCGGAATTATATTCGTTTTACGGTGGTGCTTTTACAGTTAAGTAGGCAGTGAGCAGCTTTACCACAACAGTGACTGATTTTCCTTGATAGCATAGTTGTAATATGACTACACTGAGACCTACCACCAGGATCATGTATTAAATCCACTCTGCTCAGAAAAAGCCTCTGTAACGAGATAAGGAATAGCTACAGAGGCCCAATTCAAGGACTGATTTCCATTTGTACAGCAAGAAAACATCCACGTTAAGAGGATTATGTGCTGTGCAAAACCAGAAACACTTCCCCCCCTCCCCAACATGCAACCTACCCAAGTATGACACTTTAGAATGTGCATATGGTTGTGACATGCAGACAAAGGAAATCACGCAAATGGTATTCAGCTTTCCAGCATCATTACAACAAATTGGCATTTCGATCAAGGATGAAATGAAGTTTATTGATCAGTGATGCAGTCTACTTGCTATGTCCAGTCTCACTGCTATAAGATGTACAGTTGAGGAACCCAGTTTGGTTTTTTTTTGGAACTGTATCAAAATTCGATGTCGTTTTGGATTTTCGGGGCCTTTGTGATTATTTGGAGAAAGTCTGAGAGATTATATTGCACTTCTTTTCTCAAACAAAAACATATGCTGGGGCCATTATTCTTTCAGAGCTATGCTAGTCCTAGGGAAGTTTAGCCACGGGTTTTGATTGGCAGTAGGAAGTGCCGGCTTCAGGGAAGGGGAAGGGGAAGGTAGTAATAATCTGGCTGCATGTTCAGTGTTAAAATTCCACTGTTAAATTAAAGTCATTGCACAACAAAACCTCGGTACACTATATGAATATTTTTTTTAACATGCTAGAGTGCATATCGATTCTGTGAAAGTGATGTGAAAATACCTTGGAAACCGCAACACTACCGGGGAAATTGGTTTCAAACAAAAGCCACACACAGCAGGAGGCATCTAGATTATTTTAGGCACAACTCCAAGCAATAAAGCTCATTTAAAGTGCAATTCTGTTCTTTTCTTTTGTGTTTATTCACTTGTTAAAACGCATAATTGCCTCTGTACACACATACTGAACAGTAGTTTAATACTTTTGTGAATATTGCACAAAAGAATGAGAAATAAAAAAACAAAACAAAAAATGGCAATACGTCAGTTTCATAAAACAAAAAAAAAAAAAAAAAAAAAAAAAAAAAAAAAAAAAAAAAAAAAAAAAAACAAAAAACAAAAAACAAAAAAACAAAACAAAAAAACCACAAAACCTGAAGATATCAAATACTTAAATTTATGCCTTTTGGATAACTGCACCAGTACTGATGATATATCTGCACCTTCCATAAGGTAGATATGTTACCTGAAAATACTTAATCCCGTTTGACAAGCTCTACTCAGCACCCTCTTACCCATCGCCCCCCAAACCCCATCCTTCACCCAAGTGAAGCTCCAAATTTCACCTCTACTCTTCCAGCTGCCCATCTCCTGACAGGCTTTGCTCATACTCTGGACTTACTATACATGCAACAGAGCCTTCCCTGGTCAAGTCTGAAGAGCCAAAACATGCAGTTGTCTTTAGAGGGATGCGAGGTTAGCAGCTGAACGCAAATACAATTCAGGCTAGCATCTGTCTCATCCATGAGCAAATCCTGCTGTCTCCAGCTCAACATCTCACTAATCTGTCAGAACAAAATGGGGTAATGCTATAAAAAATAAAAAATACTATAATCTACTTATGTTCCTTTAACAGAGATACTCCCACCCTTGTATAAATATAACCTTTTTCTTCTGGAAAGAAAAATCAGGGACTCTCGTTTTTATGAAAATCTTGATCATCTCAATTTTCTTTGCTTAATTTACTTTGATCATCTCTCTCCTTAATTTTCAGTAAAGGTGCAGATAGATAAGATATCTATATTTTTAATGTAAACATAAAAATTTTAACATCACTAGATCAGGCTGGCAATACCTTGAGAATAAGACGCAAAAGGATTCAAGATGAAATCTGTCAATACCATTAAATGAAAATCATATTTTTTTAAACAAAATCATGTACATGTAACAGTAAAATCAGATTCTCTTCAAGAAAAGTAAACTTAAAAAAACCACCTTCCATAGAAATCTACACGGACCAGAAAACAAACCAGGAATCTGATCATTCCCTCAGCAGTCTTTAAACTCCTGAGAAACACAGTTAGCTGCCAGGAGCTAGTTTTGGGGAATATAAGTCAGTTTTATTTTCTTATTGGAAGTAAATACTTACACTAAAGGACATCCAGTTCAATGCTTTTCAAGGAAATAAATTATTTCAGGAGAATAATTCCTACTGCAATCTCAAGCTGTAGTTATTTTGATCCTATAACAACTGGAACAATTAACGTTATCCTTGTTATGTCTTGCTTACATTGTCTTGGCCTTAGTTCCCAGAAGGCCCTGCAGGTCCCTTATTTCAGATTGATTCTGAAATGGAACCTCCCCCCTACCCATTTCCTTCCCAACCTTTTAATTTTTCTACTTCGCTATCAGTTTAAAAAATATTAGTGTGACAAATCCAAAAACTTTCTTGAATATTAACTATGCACTGAAAACTCAGATGAGTGTTTTTTCCTTCACCCAACTGAGGTTTCCATCAGGATACCCCCAGTTAAAGGGCTTATATTATAGAAGCTGATCACTGAACTTATTTATGAAATGTCTACACCTATTCACTTTAATTTTCTCAAAGAAAATACTGTAATATGTCAAAGCCTACAACAAACTAACACTATGTTGCATTTTACTGACATTATGTGCTCTTCATGAACAGATTTTGAGCCAAGTTGTTGCAACAGCCTTCTGCTGATGATTTTAAAACCAATTCAAGGACAGAAAAAAAAAAAAAAAAAACCACCCAACCAG